GATCCCTCAGCGGAGCGCGGCCTAAGCGAACTCGGGAAATGCGTAAGCGAAGCTTACCAACAGGTGGGTGCACACAAAAGGGGAAAATTGCCTGAACAGTACAGGCGATGGGGCTGAGGTCGGAAATTTTCAAAATGGGGGAGATCGCCACAACGGAAAAATGTTACCACTGTTGAGTTGCTTCACCCACATAAACACCCTCCCCACACACACACACGTTGCAGGACATCGAAAACACGGCGTGCGATAGCGTCCATGGAACCGGACATGACCCACACCATGACACGTACGAAGTATACAATTCGCAATTTGCGTGCGGAGTGAGGGAAGACGTTTTCCCTTACGAAAGCTTATCCAGGATTGAGGAGGACAACGACGGGAACAACAGCAGTCATCACAACAACAGCACCCATCGCAAACATCACACCGATAAAACCGGGAAAACAAAAATGATCAAGGAGCAGCAGATGGCCATGGAGAAGGATCTGATTTTTCAAAACGAAGTGCTACGGAATGTGCTAAAGAGTTCCCACCAAGTGAAGGAGATGCAAAGGGAGCTATTCAAAGTGGATGCCCGTGACTTCGTGCCGGTGATTCCTCCTGCACAGGGACAGAACGCATATTCTCTCAAGCGGGACTATCCCCAGCAGGGTGACGAAGCGGGTGATAATATGGAAGGGCACCCCGATTGTCACTATGACGGTCATATGGTCATACGGCAAGGAGGACACCACAAAAGCACCGACCGTAGTGCGCCCAGCAGTAAGGGGATAAAAAATCCCATCGCATCCAAGACAAACATGCACCCACCCAGAATAGGTGAAATAAAAGTCAACATAGACGATATAAAAAAAGGCCTACTGACATACTACTCCAACATTTATTCCTTGGACCATTACGATATAGAGGAGAGAATTAATATATTGAAATATGGTGAGAAAAATATTTCTGAACATGTTCAGGCGAATTGTTGCTACAAAAAGAGGGAGCTCCCCACAAGACCTCCTTTTGTGCATTACAATGACGAGTTGAACAACCCGAATTCAGTTACGTACCAAAGTATGTTACCTGACTACTACTACCAAGAGGGGGCTGGTCGTTCCAGGGATGGAAAGGAGAGGTTCCACTTGGGTAGTACCAATTTGGAGCATCATGGTAAGATGGAAGAAACGAATGCCTTCAAAAGTGAATACGATCATGTAGGACAGATCTCCGAGCTACTGAGTAGCCTCAAGAACAAATGTGCGGACGCGAACTTCAAGGCGCAGAGCCTGACCTCGAAGTTTGACAGGAAGTACGAGAACCCGGACAACCGCTTCTGGGTCCACAACCTGGTTCCCATGGTAAGCGAGTCGGTGGCCAAAGAGTGAATGGACGACTTTGGCAAGCGAGTGCGCGGAAGAGCCGCCTAACCGCACGACTCACTTCGCACACTTTTTTTTTCCCCCCCTTCACGCGCAGCACCTTAGAAAACCGGCGCTCCACAATGAGGACGGAATTAGAAATCACCTGGTCGTGACCTACTCTCAGCTGTATAACGAAGCAGTGTTGAATAAAAAGAAGATCGCCGCGTTGGAGAAAAAGCTACATATATTGAAGCTGCGGGCGAACCTCCCCAGGGGGGGCTACCGGATGGAGACACGCAATGCGCTCTGAGTGGACCGACCTGTAAGACACGCCACCACTGCACAAGCGGAGCATTTGATCAAATAGGTATGGGGCATAACCTACCAGCACGTGTGCCCCTTGTGAATGTGAACTGAAGGGGAAATTCATGTGTGTGCCTTATTCATGTGTGGTGCAGCCAAACCGGGGTGCTTACAATTGGGCCAACCTTTGACGTCAGATGTGCCCTGAAAAATTAAACCCACCAATGAAGATGTCCCCACCCTCCACGTGGAGAAACATCATCGAGGGGCAACCTCCAATTAACAAAAAAAAATGAATGATCAAACACGGGGTGGTGATCACCACGGAGCAGCACACAGGTAGAAAGGGCACCGTTATGTGTATATTGCATCAGGGGTAATCGCTAACATGGAGCAAAATTTTCCATGCTAATTATTTATTCTCCATTTTAAACACTTTCCCCCTCAAACGTTTACATGTCACGAGAGTAGCTAATGGGGAAGTCTAACAAACGTCCGTTTGTGTATTTCCCTTTTTTTTTTTTTTTTTTTTTTTTTGTACCAACCCTTAAACTTGTTCAGAAGGGGGAACAATCATTTAGCTACATAAGTATAACCATCGCATTGATTAGCATACAGTTGTTACTTCCTAAAGTGGGGTAATACCGGAAAAAAAAAAAAAAAAAAAAAAAAAAGGCGTTCCTTTAAGAAGCGTGGGTGCCTTCCCCCCATTTAATGCTTCACGATGGTGGAAGTGATCCTATAGTTGCACCCTCTTGTGAGTGGCCCATTCAACGGGTGGTCAACCCCGGAGACGGATCATGCGGGGTGTGATGTGTACTCCGCGAAGGTGCAAGCGCAATACACCATGCAGAGTAAAGTTCTTTTCACTCCTTCTGTTAGGAGGCGCTGCTTTTACAATTGCAAAACGTGTGATGCTGACCGGCACAACGAAGGAGTCAACTCTAAGAAGGGCAAAACCTGCAAAGGGAAGGATAAACCTCCCTCCCCTCCTCAATACGGCTGTGTGTGTTGCGAAAAGGCTGAGTACCAAAACGAGAATAATTTATGAGTGAACGCATCCTTCCTGTTTCCATTTATGTGAAGAGATGGCGAGCCTTTTAATTTGCGGAGCAGCAAGGAGCTGCTGCTGGGCGACCCTCGTAGGCCAGAGGAGGTACAAGAGCCACATAAACTCAGTCTCCATTTTGCAGCAGTTTTACAATCGCTTGCCGATTCGGAAGAAGTACATAAAGGCGATAAAGAAGGGGACGCTGATCTGGGACAAGGGACAGGTGGGCCTCCTGCGCAGGGCGCATGCCTCCTCTTCATCACTTTACCGCTTAACCACTTCACCGCTTCGCCACTTCACCGCTCTACCCTACGCAGGTGAAAATTCCGCCGCTCAAAATTGAAGGATACGACCCGCCCAAGAAGTGCCTGTCGCCGCTCGTCAAGAACAGGAACAACCAGTACCGCGGAAGCTTCCTGAATTTGAGGGCCCACCGTGTGGAGTTCCAGGACTGATGATGCTCACACTCGGTTTGTGTGCGCTGCGGGCGCCTGAACAGATTCGTAGTTTCATGGGACGGTTAAAAAGAAAAGAAGCTATTCCCGGGAGCATCTCATGGAGAAAAAAAAAAAAAAAAAAAAAAAAAAATTTCGACGTGACTGCGCAAAAGTGTATATGAGCACCCCCCGCAAATGAACCACTTGGGGAAACACAAAAACAAACAAACGGGGGGACGCGGTGTGGGTGCACCCAGAGGCTGCCCCCCCCCCCATCACAACGTGTAGCGCAGCTCGTCGCGCGCAAAGTTGCTGTCGCCGAGGCGCTCAAAGGGGGGGTACACGGGGACGAGGCTGTCCTGGTGGCCGATATAAACGTTGTTATAAATCTTCCAATATATTTCTCGCACCTTCCTGGAGGGGTGAAAAATGCCCTGCACTAGGTACTGGAATATGATTGCAGGTCCCAGGGCCACTCTGAACCCATCAATGGAGTCAATAACAGCTTGAATAAGATGAGGAGATGTCTCGAATATATTTGGCCATACGTAGTTTAGCAAGTGAATGAGAGCGTCTTCTCTGTTCAAGCCAAAGCAGCCAAGAGCTAAGTGTTTACAAGCCCAGGTTGCAATTTGCCTGTGCACTAAATCACGATCCATGAGAGCGTGTTCGAGTAAAGGCACCACTGCGTACACATAATCTTTAGCAATTTCGCCAATGTATTCAAACATAAAGGATAGCGCTTTTAAGACTCCATTTTGTACATTTAAATCCTGGGCTCGATATTCATTCATGAGTGCAGCAAGGACAGAGTATGGAAGACATGTGTCTGCTACTATAGCAATGGCAACGGTAGTACATACTCTGAGTTGTCGTTCTTGAACCCGTAAATTATTAAGTAAGACAGTTAATACTTCAAAAGGTCCAATGGTGCGAGCAATATAACCAAAGGTCTGTATGGTTGCTCTTCTAATTAATTTTTTATTAGATTTTAACAACTCAATGAGATCAAAACATATACGATCCCATTCCTTAGGAGACACCAAGTCTCCTCCCTTGTCTGCAATAATACCAATGAGGTCAATAACATTCTCTTGTACCTTCTCGTGTCGGTTTTTCAATATTGGCGTTATCCTGGGTAGGAGGTCTTTTATAGGTGGGGTCATATTTTGCACGCCCAACACCACTACAATAGATTTCAACGCACCTATAATATTGCCTAACACTTCTGGGTATTCCTCCCCGAGGTATTCATAAAGGTATAAAGCTAAATGCCCTAGCATTTGATGTTCCTCACACAAATGCATAAGATTAGCAATTCTTGCTATAAGTTCTGCACTCTGTTGTCGAATTTTCGGCAGAGGCGTATTCAGTCTCCATCTTATAATGCCTGCTATTTGTGGGAGGTATGGTTTCATTCTAACTTGTAATTTATTTACAATCGCATCGAATGAGTTTAACAACACGTAATAATCTTCAGAGGCTTGTTCTTGAAATGCGTATAAAATACCATCAATTAACTGTTCTTCTAATGCTTGGTCAATGTCCTCTACCCCCTGATTATTCACAATGCTTTGTATCGTTTGCATCACCATTTTTCTGAATTGTTCAGATGGATCTTTCAAGTCATCCACTATTCTAGCTATAACAACTGCTCCTCCTATTTTGTTTGAAATTTCTACTGTCGTTTCTACTATCAGATGTAGATTTCTCTTATCATGGCTACTTCTTAGAACCCAAAATTTTTCAAAAAATGGGTTCACCACTTCTTGGTTGATGTAATCCTTATCAATGCCCTCCGTTTGTATACATTGCTTTACGCACTTGAGCACCACCTTTTTCATCTCCTCATCCGGGGAGCTAAACTCGTTAATAAGAATTACCATCACTTCTCTCGTATAATAACTTGCATGGTATGGATCCATCAGAGGTATAATCAAACCAATGGCCTTTAAAAATGCAGTTAACACTTTACCTCTGTGTTCTGTTATACCTTTCCACAGAGGTCTTAAAACAGAATCAAATGCTTCAATCCCATATGGTGCTGCTGCTTCTGCCAAAGCGGCTATGGCAAGCGCTGTGATCGTTTTTACTTTCTGTTGCTCGTCATGCAACCCATGAGCCACAATAGAAACGAGCTGCCTCAAGTGAGGTAAAACAGCACAACCCATCAGTATAGCAATCTGCTGCACAATTTTAATTCCTGTATGTCTGGCTTCCCAATTCTTCTTCGATTGACACACGGCCTTTAGAAATAAAATCAGGGATGGAATACCAAGTGCAGATGCAACAACTGCAAATGCTCTAGCAGTAGTATTCCTTACATACTCATCTGGGTGGTCTATATCAGGCCTCATAATACCGATCATCGTGGCCAGCCCTGCAGCCTTGGCTAAGTTACTTATAATTTCTCTTCCTTCCACTCGAGCGTAATAATCTTCATCAATTAGCAACGGCTCAATAACCACCAGAATTTTATGTACATACGGTCTGACCAGGTCATCTAATTTGAATAAAATTCGGTCAATCACTTTCACAAGAAGGTGTCTCTCCTGGTCCTCCAATGTGTTATGCATCATTAGAGGCAAAATTAAATTGAACAAAATTTCCGGACCCAATTCCTTCACCTTATCTGTGATAGCCCTTAGAGCTGTCCTTCTAACAGAGGGTGTTCCATTTTTTATCTTAAGTAAAAGAATCATCAGTTTCCTCTCCTTCAATTCATCCTGTGATAAGTCACTCTCGTCGACTGTTTGAAACAGCTTGCTGAAGTAAATAAAATCTTCATTCTTTAGCTGCACATATTTTAACTCGCTTAACAATTGAGGATTGTTAATTTGGAATTGGCTACTCTGCAGAATCGACTGCGCATGTGCCCCCTCTCCATCCTGCATCTGACTTGTCGTCGCCGTTGGGATTTCGTAAAAGGGGGTGCCGCTGGGCATCGTTCCACTAACCAATGTGCTATGCATCACATTGTTATTTGAATAAGGGGTTTGTTGCACTGCTCCTGTGGGGTGCTCCCCTGTTTTGTCGTCCTGCAGGGATGTGGTGGCTCCACTACCCATTAGAAGAGGAGTCCCCGCACTGCTGGCAACTGTTTTAAAAAATGCTTTTAATTTATTCCTTCTTATCGCCTCGTATTCCTCTGGCGGTTCCACAATTTCATACCCTTCGGAGGGAAGCAGCTCATCCAGGTCCTCATCTGTTAGTGGCCTGTTTCGAATCTCCATTTCATTTTTTATTTTCAATTTTATAATCGAGTCGACGGCCATGGAGTTCACTCCCGGGGTCATGGGTGTGAGCATGGAATGGGCATTACCCAATTGGTTCAGCACGTATGGGGTGTTGACGAAGTTACCGCTTCCCGGCATGATATAAGGCGTTTTCAGCATACCTCCTGGGGTGGCTGCTGCTGCTGCTACCCCACCATGTGCCACAACTTTGGGTGTCTTCATCATGTCACTCTGTGAGAGGCTATCAGCCGCTGACGCAGCAGTCCCTTCCCCAACCTTGTCCCACCGTGATATTTTTTTTTTCTTTACTGCACCCCCGTCGTTCAGTATGAAGGGTGTGTCAACCCACTTGGACGGTGCGGGTGTGGGCATGTTACCAAAGCTAATCGATTTACTCTCCTCATCAGACAAGGCGTCCCATTTACTTCTTCCTTGTTCCTTTTTCATTCCTTCATTTGTTTTACTAGACGTGGCTGACTCCCCCGACTTCCTCCCAACGGAGTCACTTTCTATGACCGCCCCCCACCTCATCTTTCTATTGCCTCCAGCTTGACCAGACGTCGACGCGGACGCACCACCCTTTGCACCGCCACTGGTGAGCTTCATTTTGTGACTTTCATTATTTATGTCCATCATCACATCTGCGTAAGTCCTCTCCCCTGGGGATGGGCTGTGCTCTCCAAAGGGGTCAGCCCTCCCTGGGGACATAATATAATCGTACTTTCTCCTCTGAAATTCATTTTCTCTTCTTCTAATGGACTTGTCTTTTACCAACCCTAGCGTTTTGTCATCCAGGTCATCATTATTGAAGTCATGTTGCACTACTTCGTCTTTCAGGTTTCCTATGTTTATGTGATTGTGGTTTCGTCCGACTGTGCCGACTGCTCTACTGCCGAGGGGATTCTCCGACTCCTCATCTTCCAGGCGGGTTTCTATCTCCAGGTCATACTGGACGTCCCCATCGTGGTCCCCGCCGTTCATTTCCTCCTTCCCGTACTTGTGCTTCTTGCCGCCCTCCCATTTCTCCGGATCGTACTCACTGCGCTTCGCCCCCATTGGATGCCTATATGTCGGTCAAGCGAAAGGTAGCGATTACAACGGTCAAGTAGGGAGTACCTATTGTAGCGGTTAATGGGGGATGTAGCGATTACGACTGCGCCGCGCTGCTACACCACGTCGCCAGTCCTCCGCGCTACAATCTTGTCGCTTCTCACCCCCGCTGGATGTTCCACGGAGTTGTGCGCGGCACAGCCGGGGAAACAGGAACATATATAAGTTGCTCCCGTGAGCCACTCCGCGTGTTGGAGGATGCTCATACAAATGGGCTTTTGAAGAATGCAGCCATATGGAAAGGGACTCGTTGGGGCCATACCTCTTTTTTCATGCAACTAAACATATCATCATGTAGCGCCTCGTAAACGAAAAGAGCGTCAAGCCTAATTCGCGCTTGCACTGGCTTCTCATCTGAGAGGTAAAATGAAAAAGGATCGAAGCGCCAAAGAAATGTTGCAAGAACTTTCTTGTGGCATGTTATATATATATCTATCTATTGCTCCAGGACGTGGAAGGTAACACCAAAATATATATATTAACTCCAAATTGACGTTAAAATGTTGGCACTTGGGAAAAAAAAAAAAAAAATAAAATAATTAAAAACACGTAAGGCACTAAAAATGTATGAACTGTTCAGGCAAAAAAGAGAAAAAAAAAAACGTCAACAAAAAAAAAAAAAATACAAAAAAAAAGCTACACAAAAAAGAAAAAGGTATTCATCAACATTTTAAACACATGATGGTATCCGCCACGGACGGGAAATTGTACCTTGTGTGGGCATGTAGGAAGATTGCGCACAAAATAATTTTGCAGAAGATTAGCCAAGCTGATACACTGTTCACATCATTTTCGCTGTGAAGAAGAAAAGCCTTTTTTTTTCCCATTAGCGAGGAGCACTACAGATTGAGGGGCGAAAGCAGGTGCAAGTGACACTTTTTCTCCAACCCATTCCCCAGTGCCTACCCATCACATGCACACAGAGGACGTACCGGCCAAAAATGATTGTCAAGGTGTTCGACCACATATATATTAGCAACGTGTACAATGCAAACGATATTTACCATCTGATAAATTTGAACATCGGGGGGGTCCTGACGTGCTTCCGTTGCATGAGCATCGAGTGGTGCCACCATGACCCCAAGGAGAACAGGAAGATTTTTTACAAAGACAAATTTTTAAACTGCAAGGGGGAGTTGTTGAGGGACCCCGGAGGATGGGACTACTCCTCTTTGCCACTATGCCAAAACGCGTCAATACCGATAAGTGGCCCTCATCAGTCGGCCACCAAATTAACTCCATGTAGTACCAGCGCGCGGGGGGACTCGGTCAACGGGGGGAATACTCCTTCCCACGGTGCAACAGACAGCAAGGAGGAGGACCTGTTTGCACAACCATATGCGCACTACGATTATATTCTGTACCCACTGGAAATTCTTAAAAAGAAAATTACAAAGGAGACCATTGATGATTACATAACGGCGATGGTACACTTGAAGGACGACGTGGAGGTGAATTGCGTCCCCGTCGCAGAGAACGACATATCCGCATCAGCAGAGGAGGAGATAAAGAAGTGCTTGGATGGAGCGTTAGACGATGAGGGTGTGAAGGGCAACGAAGGTCAGGAGAACAGAACGAGACAGAGGAGCTGCAGTTTGGCCGATGAAAAAACTTTATTTGACAAGAAGAGTTCTAGTCCAAGTGGCAGTGCGAAACCAACGGAGGGGAAGAATCAGCCTGAGGGGGTTTCTAGAAGTGCCGAAGATTTAAAAGTGCCTGGAGGAAATGATGGGAAGACGCCCCCCCACCCCCTGAAAGGACAGAAATCACAGGGCAGCATAAAAACAGTGTGTGAATTGAATGGAATGCTGAGAGATGAAAAAAATAGAATGGTGCCATTCAGCAATGTGTATAAAATGAAGCATATGTATTTGGACATCCTAGACACCTTTGATGAAAACATCCTGAACCATGTGGACAGAGCCCATGCCTTCATCGACGACGTGATTAAGAATAATAAAAATGTTTTGGTGCATTGCGTGGCTGGTATTTCTCGGTGCTCCTCCATCATCCTTTCGTACATTTCGAAGAAGAATGGGAAGAGCATTGCTGAAAATTTTTCAACTCTTAAGGACCGCTACCCCTTTGCCCACCCCAACGAAGGCTTCTACAGGCAGCTGCTTCTATACGAGAAGATGAACTACACCTTAGATGTAACGTTGAAAAAAATTGAGTAAAAAATGGGGGGGAGGGACACTCCCCGCGCGATAGCGGCAGCGGCGGCGACAGCGATAGCGGCGCGAGTCTGAGTGGACACAATCGCACTTCACCTGCACATGCATGTGTTAGTGAGTGATAATTCGTGTGCCCGTGCGTATTTGCATGTGTTGCGTCAGGGGAGAGGGGCAGATGCCCACGTTTGTTCCATAGTTTAAGCTTCCCTTTTTTTTTTTTTTTTTTTTGCTGCTTTATACAACAACCCCTTCGGCGATAGGGATAAGAGTGGCCTTTCTCCGACTTTGTAAAAAGAGCGGTAGTTGTTTGGCCCATCTTAACTTACGTGACAGTTTCCTGCACGCTACCACCCAAACATGGTCCATACAATCTTGGGTGCTCCTACATATGTTGACCCTTTCCCCCCTTTTCCCCTCCCCCTGCAAAGGGACGAAGCCAATACCACCGCGTCTATGAAGAGATAAAGAGCGACCGAGGTGGGCTGGAGAGGCTAAAATGTATGAACCTCAAAAATGAGCCAGAACCGACATACAAGTTTAGGTGCAAGTAAGGGCTTGGTGAGCGGCTCTCGTTGGAAGCGACGGACGCGTTTTATGCGGACCCTCCCCCTCACCGACACGTCCCCATTGCATCACCTCTACATGATCGCCCCCTCCCTTTTTGCAGACTCTGCAGACTTACCCTCTTCAACGACAATGATATCATTCAGCATGAGCTGGACAAGTACAAGATAAAAAAAAAGGTGACCAAGGGAAAGGGCAAAATGGGGTGGGGCGAACTGCTCTCTCACTCATTAATCACTGAGTTCGGCGGCGCGTGTTCTATTGGGGCGGAGACACCAACCCATGCTGGCCGTCTTATTCACATCTTTTTCCTTCTCCTGGTTTGTAAATTTTCCATCACCACGACGCCCTTTTTTTGGCCCCCTTTTTCTACCCCTTCTACAGTACGGGCAGTCCTGCACAAGCATCTTTATCGAGAAGAAGGAGTGGGTCCTCACGGAGAATAAAATGAAGGGCGCATTGATTTGCCCAAACAAAAATGTAATTCACGAGTTGTCCACTTCTCTCCCCGTTGTGAAGGGAAAGGGGCGATTCCACTAGTGGCACTTTTTGTGGTTCGCCTAAAGAGGTGACTGTGTAGCCCAGTTGATGTGTCATGCGGCGGTCCTCGCGGCGCCTTCACTGCATGTCTGCACTCCATGTACAGTCGTTGCGTGTACAGACACGCCGCGCTTCCCCCCCTTCCCAGTGCAGCGCCAAGCTAGGAAAATGGTCGTGGACAGGAATATGCTGCTCGTGCGGCTATTTACAAACCCCGGCCTTCATGGTTCGTGCGCATAGTGAGAGCGTCGTTGTTCCCACTTAACTCCACCCCTGGTGTAGAAGAAGAAACGAAATTATATTTCCCCCCCCTCTACGTAAAAAAAAAAAAAAATAAAGTGTGCATGTGTTTCATCCTCCTACTTAGATAAACACTTCCAACGTCGACCGCATGAAGATTAATCCCAACTTACCCTAACCGATGTGCCGACTTGAAGAAGCATGATCATGTGGACAACCAAACGAGGGAGGGATCCTCAACTGTTTGCTTAATAATATGTATGTTAATTTTTTTTTTTTTTTTTTTTTGGGGGGGAATTTCTCCCCTGAAAAGAACACACATTATATCATTGTTAAAAAAAAAAAAAAAAAAAAAAAAAAAAAAGGGAAGAAAAGGGGATACCCTATTGATGTCAATTTGGTTTAATGTCATTACATCCCGTGTGCATCCATGCTGGTTTTACTTCCCACAGAATTCTCCTAGCCGTTTCTGAGGGGAGAGGAGAACACTTTATCTTCGCGTCCGGTTCGTTACCACCCATTCTTTACTGCTCCTGTATGACCCTATAACTCCTCGTCTGGTTCCCCCTGCGGCTCTACCCGCTCGTCAACGTCAACAATGGGCGCAGATCTTCCCTCTTCGCAGCACAAAGGGAAGGGTGAAGGGGTGAAAGGAGTGAGTAGTTGGTCTGCGGGGCCTCCCACGTGGGTAGAGAGGGCGAGCGAATGCTCACCTGGGAAGCGCCTATCGAAGCCGACTTCCAAAAAGTCCACTTCCTTCTGCATGAGGAAGTACGTAACTAGGTTTTCCGTGATGGCTGCGGGAGGGGGAGCATGGCAACACTTCACGCACCTGTGTGTGTGGGGAGCAACTATATGGGTGTGCGCATGAGCACTCCTCATTACACCAACGTGTGCACATGGCGTGTGCCGCCAGATGAAGCCACCTTTGTCCTGGTAAAAGCATGTGAAAATCCCAAGTCCTGTTTTCTTCATTTGAACATTCATCATTGCGTTTTGCAACAGCGTCATGTACTTCTCCCCGAGGCGGATCAGCTGCAGGTGGTTTCGGTACGTCCTCTAAGAGGGGGTGTAAAGCGACAGCGCTGATGTAGGGGCAATGACCGTGAAGGTAGCTGTGGTGATTGGTGTTGCAACAGCCACAGACGTGCCCCCCTGCCCACTAATGACCCTTACGTATTTTTTGTCCACGCGCACGTAGACGTACATCTGCGTCACGTACTGGTAGTAATCCCTGTGTGCTACATCATCCATGCCTGCGTGGGGGTCGCGTGGGGGTCACGTGGGGGTCACGTGATGGACAGGGTGCATGGTTCACTCATGCATATCTTTTTTTTTCCCCCGGTTCGAATGACATCCCTCAAGAAGAACAGCTCGCCTGACAGGCACGTTCATGAAAAATGCTTTTTTATGTAGGAGGAAACACACCACCTTCGAGCTCTTCCTCCAGGCCGCTCAAGTCCAGTTCGTTCATGTCTTTTTCAAAGTCGCGGGGGAACGCTACACCGCCGCTGCCACCACCTGGGTTTTCTCCCCTCGCACTGTTAGCAAGGGGTAAAATGAGCAGCACGAGGAGGCGCAGCGGCTTCATTGGCAAGGCACAAAAAAAGGGAGCGCAGAGGGGCTGGGTAGGCACCTGTAAAAAATTACACAGACTGCTTCCCCGACAGAAGAGAAGAACAGACAATCCTCTGCCGCTACTATCAAACGCGTGACAAAAAAAATTATAAATTAACGAAGTTGCAAAGGAAGGCTAATAATGTTGTGGCTAGTTCGAAAGAAAAATATGTAGCTAGCTAGCTAGCGAATACACACAGAAAAAAAAAAAAAAAAAAAAAAAAAAAAGGCAACATACTTTTTTATCTTCAAAAATGTAAAAACCCTTCTATAAGGCAAATTTCGTGTACATACAAAAAAAATAAAATAAAAAATAAATATGCGCAAAGTGCTGGGGACGAAACAAAACTGAAAACTCATTTAACAGTGCCACTCGGGAGCAGCGATCTGTCCTTTGGGAAACTTATGGGGAACAGGTAGCCGTGGCAATCTACAACTGTGTGTGTGTGTGTTCCTCAAATGTGGCGCACACCCCCACGTAGGTGTTCTTTTTTTTTTCTTATTTTTTTGTTGCCGCTCCTTTGCGTGGTCCTTACGGTCCGGTGAATTTATCTCCGCGGGTCGCTCCACAGAACAACAACGATAATCATCGCCTACAGGAACTGCTTCACCCAGGGGTGGGTCTTAACCTCTTCGGCTGAAATGCGCTCGTCCGCCGTTCTACTGCATAGCTGCGGCGTGAAAGGGGGGAGGGGAAGCAGATAAAAAAAAGGTGAAGCGAAAAGGGACATACATGAGTGTGTGCTGGGGCGTCAACACTGCTACTGGCGCGCATGGGCAGGCATCACACATGAGAATCGTAGAGAGGAAAAAACCACACTAAACGGAACGCCAAACTATAACGCGACGCACCTTCAGTATGAGGTCCCGCGCCTGCAACGAAATTGCCTTGGGGAAATGGAAGTTGAGCTCCTTGATTTGGCTGAATATGCGCTCCTGCAGTTGGTAAAAGGGGCGGGGAAGGAAATTTTATAAGGGGTGCTCGGCGTGGATAATGCACAGGGCGGCAACGAAGACGCCACTTCACCGCGTCACCACTGCACCGCTTCATTATTACACCGCTTCGCCACTACACCGGTTCAGTAATGCACGGATTTGCCGCTCTCCCCCACCTGGGTGTCGTCCGTGAAGGGCGGGAAGCCGACGAGGAGCTCAAAGATGACAATGCCGAGGCACCACAAATCAACGTTGCAGTCGTAGGGAATCTGGTTGATGATCTCCGGAGGCATATAATCGACGGTCCCACAAAAGGTGCTCCTCTTCTGTCTTTTATTTTTCATCTGGCATGAGAATCCAAAGTCAGCAATTTTTACCACCCCGTATTTGTAAATGTGATTTCCTTTATGAACATCTGAGTGATGTAACAATATATTGTCAGGCTTCAGATCCCTGTGAATTATATTAAATTTGTGTAGGTATGCCAGGGCGTCTGCTATCTGGTACACGTATAAGGCTACTTGTTCTTCGAGCAGTGGTTGTGCATCTGCTTTCATTTTGTTTCTTATCGATCCGCCATTGGCTAGCTCCAGAATCAAAAACAAACGGGTTCTATCTTCAAAATATGCTATTAACTGCAAAATGTTTATATGATTTAAGCTGGCCTGAATTATTATTTCCTTAAGGACTTGTCGCTCGATATTCAATGAGGCGATGGTGTCCTTTGCCATCACCTTCAATGCTACATCCTCGTTTTCTTTTTTGATTATGGCTTTAAAAACCAATCCTGTTCTTCCATTTCCTATGGGGTTCTTATCTACAATAAAATCTTCTTGCTCGAAATTCCTTTCGTTTTGCTTAAGGTTGAAGGCGCTCAGTGGTTGTAGCATCAAATGGTATTGTTCTTCGTACAGTACGTCACTTAGTAAATTTTTCTCGCTCACCTCGCAGGCAGTGGCTTCTGTCTCTGCTGACCCTCCTTGTGCAGATGCACCATCACCTATAACTGCTCCTTCCCCTGTGCCTACACCCTCCTCCTTCTTTTTCTTCTCCCTTGCTAACCATTCAAAATAGGACACCTCCTTCCTTTCTCGTTGGCTGGCAGAGCTACTGGATTCATTCCTGCACGCATTATCACTTAGTGTCTCCTTTGCGAAGCAGCTCTCTCTTCCCTCATCGTCGTGACTAGGTCCAACTTTACCAGAGCTACTTCCACCCCCCTTGGGGTGTTGTTTTCCCCTCTCGTCATAGCTATCGCTGCGCTTCCTACATGTACCGGCCCCATATTGTCCCTCCCCACCACATTTATCCTGTGCACCCAAAAAAATATTTTTTGAATTGCTGCTCTTTCTCCCCTTGTTTACATTACCAGCAGGAATTGAATTGCTTTTTACATTTTTTTTTTTTTTTTGATCCCTCTTGTGTTTTTCCATTTCTTCACTTATAGGATCTTTGTAATGCAGGTGGCTGTTCTTAATGGCTTTTTTCGAGTTGCTCAAATGGGTGAGGTTGCATCTGGGGGATTCATCCTGAACACATGTCTCCTGTACGTTTCGCCTCGATGCTACGATATAACTAGAACCCGTTTTTGTTGCATCTGTTTGATTTGCGCTCTTCCCATGAGTGTTGCCTCTACATTTGGAGATGGGCACCAGTGGTCTCTTCCTACACAGTTGGACGTTACTACCAGCCACATTTGCCGACCGCATTCTCGTTGAAGCTGTGCTGCTGCTGCTGTGTTGACTTTCATTGTTCCGTTTGGTGGTTCCCCCTTTACCTTCTTCCTTGGCCCGAACGTTTCTACTACCCTGTATGTACAGGTGTGTGATGGTTTTGTTCCCCCTTTCGCTTGGACACACTTTAGAAACCCTAAAGGAACTGTTGCTGGTGCTGCTTGGCAAGGCCCTGGGCGTTTTCGCCGATCTACTACTGTAGCCGGTGTTGTTGTTGTGGTTGTAGTTGCTGCTACTGATGCTACTGTGTTGCTGGGGCGGGTTTCTCTTCGTGGCAGGGTCAGTGGTTTTTGCTTGGAGTCCTCGAGATGGCGGTTCGTTACGACTGTTACTACCCTTATTGCCACCGAGTCCATTGTGTCTTTTGATCCTCTCCCCGTCCCCCATGACCAGATTTGTGTTGGTCATCTCACTCATTGGGTTAGTCGCCTCCTCCTCCTCGTTGGGGTGTTCCTTGCCTCTCTCTTTTCCGTGGGGTCCCCCTGGGTGACTGTTCATCCTGCCCATTACAAAAGGTCCCACCCCTCTATTTGACCTGAACGGTCCATAAGTCTTTTTCATTGGGGGTATTTTATGTGATTTTTCTTTTTCCTTTTTTGGCCAAGCTGTTGGGGTAAGGAGGTTAGAGCATGGGGTCTCCACCGTGTCCGCTCCACCAGGTGCATCCGCTCCGTCTTCCCTTCTGCTGACGACCCGAGTGAAGGTCGCCCTTGACTTGTCTTTGTCCCCCTTACCAGATGAAAAAATGATATTTTTCCTTTCACTTTCATGTTGTACAATTCCTTTGTTATTCGTTTTTGTTAACTGTGTAGCGATTCCTCTTGGAACTACACTCGCCTTTTGGCTAGCTGACGTCCCTTTCTTTTGTCCCTCTGTAAACCCCCCCTTGATCGTTTTTATACTTTTACTGTTTGAGGAGCGTGTGTGCGCGGCGAAGCGTCTGTTAGGCGGGGGTGCTGCTTCCTCCCTCTGAGTTTTTGAGGAAGGCCCAACTACGGTCACATCACTGGCAGGTGGTGCGTCGCCTTCATGAACAGCAACGCGGGTCTTAATCATGTGTTCATGCAAAAATGTATCCTTCACCGATTCACCACTTGTGTGTGTCCTTCTTAACTCCTTCTCTACCTGATCATCATGCGAAAAATTATGCGTACACAGTTCTCCCCCCCGCTGCTTGCACCCATGTGATAACACATTTTTCTTCTCCTCATGTTCAGGTGTTTTCTTCGTGGGACGATTTGTTTGAAGACCAACGGACACCCTCTCCTCATACGCCTTTTTAATTTGTGTAAACAGGTAGGTACCATGAAGACCTTTTTTCTTTCCTTTCTCCATTTGTGCATGTACAGGTAATGCGTTGTCGGTATCATCCCACTTGTCGTGCTTGGAGGAATGGGGCTTCCACCTGCTGACCACCTCCACAGCTATCTCATCTTTCCTCTCCTTATGCAGCCCTCCCCTCTGAAAAAGGAAAGAAGAGACATCCGTGGAGTGCATACATTTGTCCTTCACGCTACCCTTCCTTGTCGCACCGATATATGTGTCCTTATGTAGAGGAACCTCCTGTTGATCTGCCTGCACTGTGCATACATTTTTCTCCTGCCTCACGCATTGTTCATGGCATTTTATGGGTCCAGCAATCTCCTCCCTCCTTGGCGGACCCCCCTTTTGAATTACCTCAACGGTGCTGTCCCCATCATCGCTCACCACTGGGATGTTCGAAGCAGGTGTGGAATGTTCCTTTGTCTTCATGTGGACCTTCACATGGTGCTTCTCTCTTCTGCTTCCTCCGTTTAGAGGCACATCTTCTAGCTTATCACTTGGTGTTAATGCAAAAGGAGAGGACTCGCCTCGCGTCTCATCCATTGCCTGGCTTGTTCCTTCAGATGTCTCGCCTCTTACACATGGCTTCATTTTTTCATGCCCCTCACCACATGGCCTAATTCCGGGGTCTCCTCCACCGAGTTCGCCTCTTCTCCTGAGTTCACATATCCCCATGCTCCTGCCAACAGAGTCAACATACGCAGCATGGGTATCATCACCAGTGGCGCTTCTACGTACGTGCTCCTCGTCTTGACCTCTGCTTTGCGCCTTTCCGTCCCCCACGCTGGTACAAGAAATGGCGCTGCTAGCAGAGTGACCACTCTTGTCGTACGAATGAGGTGGTTTGCGTTTTTTATTTTCTACTGCGTCATCCCAATCGACTTTCCTCTTGCAGGCAGAGTCCCAGCTGTTATTGTTGGTCCTCTTGGACCTCACGAGGACATCCCTCTTTTGTGTCAACTGTGTACGAATGGTTGAGGATTGGTCTGTTTTTCTGCCTGAACAGTGCAGGCGATTTTCCGCCCTGAATTTTCCCTCACACGTGTCTGTACAATGTACCTGCGTGGTGTTGTTCCCCTGAGGGTAATAATCTCCGGTCCGCACTAGGCCACGCCTGACGTCTCGCTTCTCATTTTCGCTCTTAGAAAAAATATTGTGTAGCTGTCTCTGCACGCTAATAATGTTTGCCCTCTTAGTTGGGTTATCTCCTTTTTCACTCTGAGGGTTGTTCATACTAACAGGTGTGGAAGTATGCATAACAGCGTGTGCAGAGTTTATTCTCCTTGCATTGTTTGACTTGTCTGGTTGGTGTGGCTGCTCATTCTTGGTGTTCCTACTCCGTCTGTCAGTTGCATCACCATTATCATGAGGGCAGCTCTTGGTGTTTGTTCTCACATGGTCGTTCGTTGCTTTATGTTTATTCATATTTTGTTAAGGCTGTGGTGAGTGTGACTTGGCTGAATAGCTTGCCGCTTGGCTGAGCTGAAGGACGCACACAGATATGTTTTGTGTGTACCTTTCTACATTATACATTAGCAGGAGGAGGTGATGCATCACGAACATGGGCGTGGACGCAGGTGCGGGGTGTGTGCACGTGCGTGTGTGTATACGTGTATGTTGTGTGACCGCCAACCCCCGCGAGTTTCTACTCCCCATCGCACTTCATTACGTGTGGCTTATGGGAGTGCATACTCACCAGGGTGTGTAAAGGGGACAGGCTAACGGACGGAACAGAGAGAAAAAAAAAAAAAAAAAAAAAAAAATCCCCTTCAAAGTGCCTTGCCCAGCTGCTAGCCCGTGAGGATATAATAATTTTTTTGTTCCATTTTACCCTGCTATACGTTATACAAGGACGTGGAGCAAATGAAGGTGGCTTCGACTCGGCTCGCACTGCCTTTCACGCTGGACGCATTTCTGTGTTGAGGGCGTTGCGCCCCTCGCTTTGTATTGTCTTCCCCTCTGGGCGGTGTCCCCCCTCGTGCGCACGGCGTGGCGTTCGCGGTGTGCAATTCGTCCTGTGCGGGTGGCCCTTTGCAAACGCCCCTTCACAAATGGCCCTGCATAAAATTCCGCTTCCAAATCGCAGCTGCCCATTCGGAGATCACACGTGCTTGCTGGCCATCTTCCAGAGGGATGTCCCTATTCGCTCATTTTTCTTAAGTGAATTTTTTTTTTTTTTTTTTTTTTTTTTTTTCCATCTCCGCGCTTTGCACATACAGCATTGTTGGTGTTAAGCAATGGCATGCCTTCTCCCCCCGTTTTTTTTTTTTTTTTGGCCCTCGCTTTTAATACATTCCGCTAACTCCACGCGCATCGCACTCCCCCCCCCTTCTGCGTGGTCCTTGTTTTTGTATATGTCTAAAGAGGGCAAGGGGCAGCGGAAAAAAGCTTCACCTCAGGCAGCAAAAAAAAAAAAAAAGGGAAGTGAATCCCTAGGGATACTTACCCCTAACGCATTGTTAGTAGCACATCTACCCCGTTCGAGATATATATATATATATATATATATATATATATATATATATATATATGTGTAGGGGTGTAAGTCTTATGGACTGCCGTGAACTGTGATCAACCTCGCTCCCGTTGTTCCATTTGAAAGTGCCAAATGTGAAGTGGTTATCCGTAGGTGTGTTCAGTAGATCTACTACCCCCCCTGAAGGCATCACATTTTGTTCGGAGGGATCACCTAGAGTGTGTTCCCTTTTTTTTTTTTTTTTCCCTCCTTTGGTAGTTTCCCTTTAATACACAAATGGTTTTATGCAAATGGTCAGCAGTGCATACCACTCTGTTGGTATGTCCCTGCAGCATCCCATGTTCTGCCTTGCCAATCGCGCAACCACAACTGAGTGCAGTTGTAGGAGGTGAAGCGACTTGTCCATTCTTAACTAATTATTTAAGGCTTATACATTTGCACACATGGGGAAAGGGAAAAGTGTAAACTACACCCCCAGCTACCCACGATGAATGCGTCCCGGAGATAATTCTGTTTGAGGTACATTACCGTTTGGTCTACATAACTGGGTCTTTTTTTTTTTTTTTTTTTTTTTTTTTCCCATTGGATGCACACTGTCGCATCGCGATTACCAACGGGGAAAGGAACACCATCACCACCCCATCCCCTTCTGCATCAGCACAAGGGCGAACCGCGAATTACCTGCGCTGCTTCTGTGGCCTATCGACTGGGGACATTTTGCCCCGGAAAAGTTTACACTATGAAGGGAAGCATTTCTACCTTAGAGCCCCAATTTGTATGAGTAGTTCATTCCACTACATCCGTTAGGGTGGTCCTT